GGACTCCAGGATCATGACCTGAGCCGAAGGCAGTCGCTTAACCAACTGAGCCACCCAGGCACCCCCAGCACCTAATCTTGATGCCAGAGAAGAAGCAACTTGTAGACAACTGGAGCAGGCAGAGTACAATCTCTCTTAGCCCCCCCAAATTTTTCTAGATTTTTCTAGAACCTTATCATTTAAAATAGCTTTGCTATTCACAGTAAGGGATATTTGATGACCAAGAAGTCTTTTTTTGTAAAGATTTTATGTATTTATTTGACAGACAGAGAGAGAGTACAAGCAGGGGGAGTGGCAGGCAGAGGGAGAGGGAGAAGCAGACTCCGCACAGAGCAGGGAGCCCTATGTGGGGCTCAATCCCAGGACCCCAGGATCATGACCTGAGCCGAAGGCAGACGCTTAACCAACTGAGCCACCCAGGGGCCCAACCAGGATGTCTTAATGCCACTTTTTTACCACTGATATGACATGGAACACATGTGAGGAACAAAGAACACCTGTTGATTTGCCAGGTGGTTGGCTAGACAAAGAGAAATCCCTTATCTCTGACTTCCCTGAGTTTTTATGTGGCCTGATACTTAACATCATTCTAGGGTCCCTCTTTAATAAAAAAAAAAAAAAAACACAGAATGATGAATACAAAACTTAGGAATGAAAATAATTATTTAGAATGATAAAAGAGATCACAACAAATCATAAAATTGTAAAAAGCTGACAAATACCAAAAACATTACAAAATCTAGAGTATAATATTTGTTAGTTAGCTGCCTGACACACCTTCAGAATACTTTTTCCTACACTTTTTCGTACTTTTCAATCATCCCCTCATTCAACAGTAATTTTGTGATATTTTCTATTGAAAGGCTGGAAAGCTAAAATTCAGCCGTTGCTCTAACACAGTTGAAATTTTCTTTTTTCTTTTTGATAGTTAGGAAAAGTTTCTTTCAGCTTTCTAACTTCTTATTTATAGTGATATGTCAAATTTTAGGATTGTGATCAAACATAGAGAAACCTCGAATAAGTCCCTTCTATATATGAGCTAAGACTTCAAGGCATTTTCGGTTTCCTTATGAAGTGACTCATCTTAAATACCTTTGAAATAGTCAACACTCATAATTACTAATCCTCAATATCTTTGTTTCTTTACACTGGGTGACTTGGCTCAGAGGACAGTGGGAGTATTCTTGGATGCCACAACTCAACTCGATCGTGAATTAACTGAACACCTCTTAAATACACCCACTGAACCCAAGTTAATGCATTCCAAACTCAACTTCCCTTTAGGTGCATCCTAAACATGCCTATGGCCACTAAAGAGCTACTCAACACAAGGGGTTGGTGACAGAGGGGACACTAGCATGAAAACAGCAGTCATAACTGACCAGTTAAAAGGTTTTACTTTTGTAAAATTTATAAAACATGTGACCATGTAAACATTGCTGGGGCCTCTTCAGGGTCCTTGAATGGGGTCCATGCAAGCGAGGAACCCTAAAACTTAAAATTTAAGCTTTCTTAGCTTCATGATAAGTCGCCTCTAACAGGAATCCATCAAAATCCTAGAGGAGAACACAGGCAGCAACCTCTTTGACCTCAGCCACAGCAACTACTTGCTAGACACGTCTCCAAAGTCAAGCAAAACAAAAGCAAAAATGAACTACTGGGACTTCATCAGGATAAAAAGCTTTTGCACAGCAAAAGAAACAGTGGACAAAACTAAAAGGCAACCTATGGAATGGGAGAAGATATTCACAAATGACATATCAGATAAAGGGCTAGTATCCAAAATCTATAAAGAACTTACTAATTTCAACACCCAAAAAATAAAAACTCCAGTCAAGAAATGAGAAGACATGAACAGACATTTCTCCAAAGAAGACACACAAATGGCTAACAGACACATGAAAAAATGCTCAATATCGCTCAGGGAAATACAAACCAAAACCACCTCACACCAGTCAGAATGGCTAAAATTAACAACTTAGGAAACAACAGACGTTGGTGAGGATGTGGAAAGAGGGGAACCTTATTCTGTTGGTAGGAATGCAAGCTGGTGCAACCACTCTGGAAAACAGTATGGAGGTTCCTCAAAAGTTAAAAATAGAACTGCCCTACAACCAAGCAATTGCACTACTAGGCATTTATCCAAAGGATACAAACATAGTGATTCGAAGAGGCACATGCACCCCAATGTTTATAGCAGCAATGTCCACAATAGCCAAACTACGGAAAGGGCCCAGGTGTCCACTGACAGATGAATGGACAAAGATGTGGTGTGTGTGTGTATCTCCTGTATGTGCGTGTGTGTGTGTGTGTGTATATACATATATATGAATATTACTCAGCCATCAAAAAGAATGAAATCTTGTCATTTGCAATGACGTGGATGGAACTAGAGAGTATTATACTACGTGAAATAAGTCAGTCAGAGAAAGACAAATACCATATGATTTCACTCATATGCAGAATTTAAGAAACAAAACAGAGGAACATAGGGGAAAGAAAGGAAAAATACAGTAAGATAAAAACAGAGAGGGAAGCAAACCATAAGAGACTCTTAACTATAGCAAACAAACTTGAGGGTTGCTGGAGGGGAGGTGGGTGGGTAACCGGGTGACAGGCATTAAGGAGGGCACTTGATGTAATGAGCACTGGGTGTTATACGCAACTGATGAATCACTAAATTCTACCCCTGAAACCAATAATACACTATATGTTAACTAAATTGAATTTAAATTAAAAAAAAATCTACCTCTAGTTCTATCATTATCAGCATCATCATATTGTCACCATCGTTATAATTATCATTATTATTACTCCTGCATCACGGGGTCTTTCTGGGGATTACCACGAGATAATACAACACAGAACTCCTGGATCATAACAGGTTATCAATCAATTGCATTTATCATCACCATCATCATCATCATCATACTTGAGTCTCAAGAAGAGGTGAAGGAAGACTGGCATGGTCGGGAAGCTTTCTGAAGGCGGTGGGACTTCTGCTAGGTGTCAAAGGCACTCTTTTTACTTTTAACACTTGCAAGTGTATTTAGTTTTTCCAGGCAAGGACATACAATAACCAATTTCCAGGACTTGGAAATCCTGATGGGGGTAGAGGATATTTGGCAGGTTCATATGTGCTACAGTTGCAGTCTGGACTGAAGGAAAAGGATTTGATTATCCAAGTTATTTTAAAACTGACCTGATTATCTTGTTGAAACTCTAAGAGTAATGGAAATTTAAAAAGAAGAACAACAAAGAACCTCAATACTCTGTTTGTCCAGGATGGTTTAGTTTCAAGAGATGTTGGTAAAGTGATCTGATCTACCTGCTTCAAATTATTCTACAGAAAAAAAGCTTTCCGGAGAGATACACATGCATGTGCACACATGCACACACACACACACACACAGAAAATAGGTTGAATCTTTCCTCCCTAGAGCCAGCTAAAAATAGTTCTTTTCCTCATCTCATAGGAAGCCAACCCATCTCAGCCCACTGAATTG